TGCAATGAGGTACTGCAACCATTGCCCCTGACGGAAAGGCGCGTGAGGCTTGATCAGGTGGTCTTGCCAAAAACCAAATAGAGCTTGTTTAGGGAGTCGAGCTTTGTCCATTCGCGCTACATGCCCTAACCAAAACAGACTCTGACGCGCTATCGTTGTTTCAAAAGGTTCCCATTGTGCTAACTCATTAAGTAAGCGGCTGTTTACGTGGTTCTCGCGTTTCCATCTTCGGGTGATAAGTAAACAGCGCTGGACCGCCCAATTGACGACTGTTTGAAGTTGTTTAATTTGTTCGCGGTTCCATGCTCGAGAACGGCCAAAGCTGGTGAGCGTCGGCATTACTACTGCTTTCATTATCCGGATGCGTAAGCTGTGCGGCAAATTCCGGCGTGTTGCACGGGCCCCAAAATGCCATGCCTTAGCTGTTTGATAAATTTTGTGATAGGCTCTAGACTTTCTGGTCATGGTATCGGTGTGGGTGCTTCCGGATTCTTGTAAAAAACCCCCGACATGACGGATGGTTGCTTGTTCCCCTTTGTGACGGACATCAGTAGGTGCACGAGGGAAGGTCTGCAAACGAAGCCCTTCCGTTTTTTCCGGGTGCACCTTTTCTTGCCAATCCCGCATCGTGGTTTCCAACAGGATTTCGGCCTGACTCATTTCTGCGGCGAGTCCAACTAGTCCTGTGTCATCCGCAAAACCTATGTCTCCTAGGACTGTTTGTTCGGTCTTTTTGTGTAAATGTTGCCGGCTATGATATCCATGGTGGACCCTACCGTCTATCTTGGTTGTCCAGGGGATCCCTGGGGAGTAACCGGATTGGGTTGCCTGTTGTGCGCGGCGGACGCGGAAGTCTTCCATCACAGCGCGATGATACAGGTTAAAGAGAGGGGGTGATGATGGACATCCCTCGCGCAGGCCCTTATCTACTGAGTAGGGGGTGGAGAAACCTTTATGGATGCGAACCACATATTGTGTGTGTTCATGCAACGCTTTGCAAACGTTAATAAACTCAGCTGGAGCGCCCTTGTGTGCCAGTAAGGTCCATAGTGTGTCTCGACTGACGCGCGGGTAGGCTTTCTCTATGTCAAACAGCCGGATCAAGACAACATCCTGTGTATCGTGACTAGCCGCCGCTTCTTCGACGATGCGCCTAGTGACCTGTAAGGCATCATCTACGGATCTGTCGCGTCGAAACCCCATTTGTGTTTCATGAAGCCAAGTTTCGGTCCACGTTTGGAGTCTTTGTGCCACTACCCTAGCTAAAAGTTTGGACCCCACGCTCAGCAATGTGATACCGCGATATGTGTTTTTATCTTGTGGGGAACCTTTCTTTTTCCATAGTGGGATGACGGTGCCCGTGTTCCATGCGGTGGGCCAGTTGGTTGCTTCTTGTCCGGGGGGTGCTTCGGTAGCCGCCTGCCACATGTGTCGGACCAAATTATTGATTTGATTACGTAGTGTGGGGCTACCATATTTGTAGAACTCAGCTAGGAAACCATCGGACCCCGCTGCTTTACCGTTTTTCATATGTTTGGCACAGGCAGCTAATTCTTCATCACTCGGGGGGGTGCTTAATGCGGGGCCGGCCGGGTTACCGCGGGCGACATTGTTCCAAACATGTGCGGCTGCGTGTTCGCGGCCAGCTTGCAGTTGTTGAAAATGAAGTTTCCAGGCTTCGCGTTCTGCTTCGGGGTTGGGGACAGTGTGTGTATGTGGGCTGCGTTTTAAGTAGTGGTCCCGGAGGCCTAATATCTTATGGATAGCAAAAACTGACCGAGAATCCCTTGTTGTTGCGCAGTGATTAGTTCATCCGTAAGAGAATCCAACCAGGTCCATTTCCAACGCAAGCGTGTCTGACGTCGATGGTGTCCAGCTTGTCTGTATGCGTGTTTGGCATCATCATACATGTGTTGGCGTGCTGCATCTCGTGGTAACATGTCATGGTCAAAAGTTCGCAGGTATGCGTGTGCATCATGAACAGCTATGTCCAATTGTGCGTTCTCGATTTCATGGCCGACGAGATGGGGACGCTTACTGATTTTGTGTTGGAGACCTAGGACGGCTGTGGATGTGTGCAGACAGAGGGAGGAGAGAGTATCCCAGCTCAGTTGTTGCTGATGTGCACCGGCAGCTTGGAGGGCTTGGTCCAATTGTCGATGCCAGTGTTGTTGAAGGATGTGGCTTTGTACGCCGGGGAGAGCCAGGCGGTTAACCTGTGGACGTGGGGTCGTCACCGGATCAGTCGGACGAGGGGCGAACCGGGGCCAGTAGTGGAACTTGATTTCCACCGGGAGGTGGTCCGTGAAGTCGTCCCAATACAGCCGATCAGATGGAGCAACATGCTGAGGATCGACCCGGCGAAGAGGAGTGCCAGCGTTGCCTCGGCGGCCTTCATGCACCGTTTTGACGTTGTCAAAGTAGCGGAGCTGATGCGCTGGTGTTAGGACATGATCGAGGATGTGGCCTGTGGAGCGCGCTGGGTGCCACCAGGTGCATCGCTTTGCGTGTGGTTGGGAGAACTTGGTGTCCACTAGTGTCATGTGCTCGCGAGTACACCATTCAAGCAGACGGTGGCCACTAGGGCTGGTACGGGTGCTGCCCCAGGGGCCCAGGATTGAAGGATGTTGGCCGTGAAGAGCATGATGTATCTCAGCATTGAAATCCCCTCCGATGATGGTCAGGTCGCCGGCTGGGATCTTGCTACGAACTTCGGAGAGCTGAGTGAGGAACGCGTTCCTTTCTGCTGCGGGGGCGCTACTGACAGGGGCATAAGCTACGACCAGCGCGAGGCCTACACGGTGTCCTTGTCTGGGAATGTGGAGGGCAAAAACTCGTTCAGATTGGGCTCGAGGGCGAATTCGGTGACAGCCGCCGGCCTGCCACGAAGCCAGCATAGAAGGGTCAAGGGCGATAGCCACTTTGCCTGCAAGTTCAAGATGCCAAGGTATGGCGTCGACTTCGATCTGACGGCTGACATCAGAAGAGAACGTCACATCAGTGAAAAGGCAAGCGTTCCATTGACGACGGGCAGCCAGGCGCAGTAGGCAGCAGGTTTTGGAGTACGGATCATACGGCACGTTGTTACTTCCCCAACGGCGAACGTTCCATAAGCCAAGCTTCCATTGACTACGTTGGCGTCTGTGTGTACCAGACTTGAGGTGAAGCCGATTTTTGAGTCGTCGATAGATGGCCAACTTACGGGCCCTACGTTTACGACGAAGTTTGCGTTTACTGATTCCCCGGACCATCAGGTCGGCCAGATACGAGGGCATGTAGCTAAAAGCCAAAGGTACGGTATGTGAACAGATGCCATGTGGAGACACAGGGGTGTGTAGTCAGCAAAAACCTCAAAAATGACATTAAGCAACGTATCTTTACCCGGCAGTCCTCCCAAAAAACTGCCCGGAGCGACCTCCCACGTATCGGCGAGGCAGTGACAACCACCGAAGTGGAGGCCACCAACACCTCGAGATACAGCCTGAAACCTCACCTTGCAACCTCGAAGGCGAAGCACCTGAAGTATGGGGGCCGCGAAGAGTGTGTGTGGCTCTACGTCGCTCGCAGCTTAAAAACTCCAAGTACAGGACATGCGGATACTTCGGATCAAAGTGAAGGATGTCCCTGGGCAATGTGTATGCACCGCCATGAGAGCGAACACCCAAAAGGGTATGTAGTTGGTCAGGACTGGACTGTTCTAGCGTCACTGTGCAAGAAGCAGCGCGTCAGCGCCCTTTTTCTGTAGTTCTGCTGGAGTTCGAGTTTCTACACTAATGCAGTCGAGCCCCTAAGCCTGAGCACCACGGCAAGGTGCGCCACTCGCCCAGGTGAGAATAGCGAATATGTGGTGAGGTAGTGAATATGTGGTGAGGTGATGTAGTCCATAAACGAAGGGTTGAGAATAGCGAAGCGGGTGCGTAGGAGGGAGATGGCGAGAATCAATAAACCATGTAAATGAAGAATCTCTCGATGTAGGATAGTCTGGGCCCTCATCGTGATGCCGTCCACAGGGTTGAGGCCAGCGGGAGAAGGGAACATGGCGAGAGGAGAAGGATCAACTGAAAAACTAAGGCTCCAACAGGTTCCAATGAACCTCAAAAGTACTTCGGTCGCTCTGACCACGTTGAGGCGTTAAGCCAGCTTGGACCGCTGCGGTCACGTATGGGCATGAGCCAGCTTAGAATTCCAAAGATGAGACAAAAATCATCGGACGTACGGCCTAGGCCACCTACGCTCGCTGCGAGCTGCTCTGTATCCGGGCAGTGGATACGTTCGACGTACACCCGTTCGACGGGTCCACGGGAGGCACTCTGCGGGCTCATCCCGGGTTGGCACGTAGCCAAACACACTCATGGATATGCGTACTGATGTGATAGCGGTGCCACTCGCCAGCCTAGGAAACCCAAATCCTGAAAAACCAGGTGAGGAAACTTAGAAAGGAAGAAGAGGTCTTAGAAAGAAAGTAGAGTTCCATCAGCTCCAAAAGAAGAACGCCGATCGAGCGGACGACAAGGTGACGACGTACGTGCAGAAAAGTCAAGTTCATCACCGCTGCATTAGCCGCTTACTGCAAAACACAGAATTGGAACAGCTTGTCCATTAAGTAGGTTTCTCTCCAAGCAGGTACGTCAATCCGGCGTCCCGGATTGATTTCACCAGCACACATCCAGTGTCTTCGTTGGTGCAAGACTGGATGGGCTGCTTGCACCCCCTGCAATAATACTAAACAAATCCAGAAGGATCCCTATGACTCCAAGGGTTACACACACACACACACCTCCTCCCTCCCCTCCTTCTCATCCTCGTCCATCACATCATCACTTATACTGCACGTCTGAGTATAACCGCCTCATATGCCTTCTCTCCTCACACTTCCTTCTTGACTTTTCATCTCACTACTCCGTCTCCCAAGTGATGTTCATATACATTTGAAATGTGTAAAACTTATCATGTGGAGTTATCCGGTCCTTTTATTTTTCTTTTCTGAACCATTCTCCGTCCTCTGTGCCTGCCACTGCTTCCAACTGCTCGCGGACTTCCTCCGGAGCAGTTTTCAGCTCCTCCAACGTCAGCTCACCTGACATGGACGGCGGGCAACGCCCCTGTCACCCACAAAGAACTTCTCAGAACACCTAAACAGGTCGGGAGTGTGGTTGGGAGTCTTGCTGTGGTTACCAAAGGTATCTGAATGGCATTATAGTGACTGCAACTCTGATAATTGGCGATGGCTCTGTAAACAGCGGTGAAGTCTGTGCATTGCTTCATCAAAGGCATGTCGTGAGTTGTGATTGACTCTGCTTGGCCCAAGTGTTTTTCATGAATGATTTGTGCGAGTGTCTGGTGCTAATGTCCAGCGGGGACTCTAAACGCTAAACCAAAGCAACATCTTGCACAGAGAACAGAGCCAAGGTGTCCTTGCTGATCCAGTGGGAAACTGCCCTACCCAACGGCTATGCGACACTCCAAACATCCAAAACATCCTTGGTCCAACCTGAGCCATCAGTGTCCAGCTCCAGAAACATGACCTTCAACTGCTCAAGCCTTGGCAGCTCCAGTCCCATTAGAGCACGAGGGGCGATCTCTCGAGGACGTCCGAGCCCAGCTTGTTAGGGAGATTGAAAGTTTGAAGAGATCGAGCTGTAAGAGCAGAATGGGCGCACGTATGATGTGTTCAAGATCTTTCAAGTATGTCTTAATTGTGATGTACTATGTTTACACCATACATACATTCATGAATTCCAAACTGAGATATCAACATATCAATGATCATGAGTCATGAGACTTGGTGATGGCCAACTTCAGCGGTCCGCGCCCTTGAAGGTCATTTGTGCCTGCACCTTCATCATCTCCATGTTTGAGTCAAGTGGCTGCTTCCGTTTCTGCACTGCCTCATAAGCTCGCTTCACCTTGAAACACGTTGGCACTGGTTGTGTGTCAAGAGTCAAGGTGTCGCTTCGTCATTTGGATGTCACCTCAATTCCGACAAGTCACATCCTTGTCTTCGCTTGCCTGGTCCAAGGCAGAATTCACCATAATGGCAGTCACCAGGTTCATCAGTGACACCCTGGGCTTTGCATCGGTCGGAAGAGAATCGCTTGGACTAGCTACAGTAGTAGAAGAGGTAGCTAGGAGCTTAAGTAGCTGCTACTTACGACGCAGGATAGCTCACGCTAATGATTTGGTTTCTAGATTTGTGGGACACTTAACGTTAGTGGTCATACTATTCCTTCTAGTGCACTATTCGTAGCTGCGCAACGACAGAGACTTTGTATGGGAGGATATATGTTGGGGAGCTGGTTGAACATGTAGGTCTGCCCTCGATATTGATGGTTGGCCTCGTGAAATTTAGCTGTCTTTCTCTCGCGCAAGGGAAGAGACCGCAGAGTTACCCACTAGTGACTTTGCCAAGTTGCGCCATTACAAGGATGACAGTCATGAAGTACGCAATCCTCAAGGGTTTGAATGTGATAAAGAAATGGAATGTGCTGGTATCCTCGCCAATCCTTCCCTCTCAAATCAGGAACAAGCCGTCTCTCATGGTTTTGCTCTTTCGACCTGCAAATGTTAGTAGCTTCATTGTACCTCTATGCCTAATGGAGCCCAATCACTCTTTCTGCAACCATGAGTCAGCACTGGGTTGTGAGTGATCAGGGGTCGATAGACCTCACCTGCTGAGTCCAGGGTGAAGCACTGGAAGAGGGTCAGCATGGCATCGCTGAAACGGTCGAAGTTTTGCATCCTACGGTCGCAAGCGGTCAGCTTCGCTTCCGGAAAAGAAATACCGACCAAACGAATGTGCTGCAAGTTCTTCCTTTTCAAAGGAACCATTTCATAACTTCTGACCTTCCTGTTTCTAGGCAACCGTGCCCAGTGGGCGTTGCATGTGAAGCACAAATCATATGCAATCTTACTGAAAGCAAATTTCAAGCAGCACTGAATCTCCCGCCAGGTACCATCCAGTAGCCTATTATGAAAACATCACACTATCATTAGGAGCAGTTGCTGTAGCAGCAAGAGTGGCAATAGTAGGGCAGCAAAAGCAGCTTTGACATTCCAGTCCATTCCGATCATTGCACATCCGTCAAGCAGTGGAACGAATGGAAGGGATTGCTCCATTCAATGACCTTTCTCAAATAGCCAAGACTCACTGCCACGTTGTATGGATGTTCCAAAGGCAGTGTCAAATCCACATGGATGGTCTCCTGAGATTCCAAACAGGAAGAAGCTCTCTTAGGGTGCTAGACCAATGCCAATGCCTGTGTCTGGATAACATCGCCTTGAAGCAGTCTACACAGCTCGCAACTGGGTCGAACATGCACTTCACACCCACAACTTTGATGCCCAGACCACTTGGACCAAGTCCTCCTCATCGAGGTCAGCACAACCGTGCAATCTGCGACCGGGGCACAATGCCAACGATGGCAAACCCATAGACCAAGATCATCACCATAAGAAAAGTCCACAACAAGGTGCCTTGGCCAGGACTTCATGAAAATCAAAAAGTTCATCCCTTTAGCGGAGCCTTTGCAACCAGGGTTTGCCCAATTCTTCTAACGATGGCTGAGATTTCTACTTCTTAGTGACGTTTGCCAGAAGAAACCGAGAAAAACAGCTTGCCGCCAGGTTGCTCACGCTGTGAAGCAACCCTTGCACCAGCTGCCAAAGAACCCGGAACTGCACCATGAGACCTGTCATGATAACTACAAGCCAGGCCTTCGTGGTACAATCATACTGATATTGACCCTATGACTATGTGCGCTGTGTTCATTGAATAAATGAACACATAGACAAATCCCTTGCGAAGCTGTTACACACACCTTGGTGCTCTTTGGATAAGAATGAGTGCACTAGCCAAAAAGAATACGAGTGGTTCCTCCAACAGCGCATTTACATCATATATATATATATATGTGTGTGTGTGTCAACACTGCCTAGTGGAAGGTAATGGAAAGAAAGCAGTACAAATCAGAAAGTCTATGTAGTGTCAGAACAAGTGCCAAATGTGGTCGGAGCTCACGCCACTCTGAAGTATCCAGTCCACAATCACTGGGTCTCCAGGCGCACGGCACGCGCCAGCCGCGCAAGCCGCAGTATACGGACCTGACAGGTGTTTGTCCCAGCGTTCGAAGTCTAAAGGTATTCTCCTGTCCCCTCCAGATGTTGGAAGTGGAGAATGCCTTCTATTTGAACAAGTTCACAACCTATCGCCCTCTAAGCTTTTTCACAAGCACAAGAAAGCCTTGAACCTGGTTTGCTTGGGATTCTGATCACATCTGCTGCCGGTTTCCCTGCAACCCCTCCACATCAAATCCAGCACATTAAGCTTCTCGCCAGCAAGATTTGTGTCCTTGGTAGTGAAAGTTGGCTCAAGGTAGTTTCATGTACCAAGCCACCTGTATTTTTGTGTGGCTCAGCATTGCTCTTGCTCTGCAAATTCATACAAACATAAATAACAGGGAAGGTCTTGATGTCTCACCCAAAAACTATATATCCAAAACCAAGATGCCTCAATGACGGGAATCATACGAGAACTTTGGGCGCAGAATGTCTGATCAAACACAGGAAGCCAACCCTGTAACTTCGGTTCAACTCAGGCTCAATACCTCACTGACAGTCGCCACTTGCTTCAGGGCAATGTCCAGCATGCTCGAGAGAATTAAGAAGAGATCGAATTTGACCCAATTGCTCCTGCATTAGAGACTGTCTCCGAAAGAACCACAACAAGTATGTAACCTATCCGTCAGCAACACAGCAAGACCTAGCTCCTGAGCACTGCAATTCCATACGTATAGAGGCGCAGTCCAAACTCTGCGATGTAGATGCCTGCGAAGACGTAGTCCACTGCCTGACTTCTTCAAGCTCGATCCCTGGGAAGATTTTCCTCATTCACAGGATCCAAACACCGTCTGTTAAACACGTGACGTCACTTTACCACGTTCAGGCCAAACTTGCGAAAGTTGTATGGAGATGAAGGAATATCATCAGCACAAGCTACATGAAGGAATAGCATGACCTAGATATAAAGTTTGACAAATTCTTGGGCAGAATTATGTGGACATAGGATCATTTGACTGCCATTTAAGAAACATCGTCATATCCACACCTGTTTGAGTAAACACGGAGAAAGCGTCCAAAAGCCCTAGCATAGCTGCTTGCTTCTGATTGTTTTATCCCCACTCAGCCTGCAGCCATTCGGGCATGGCAAAGCACTCCGACTGACGACCTGCGTCTCCGCACTGGCCTCAGGAAGGGTCGGGTCCGCTCTGGGCTCTCTCACGTCCGAAGAACAGTGGCAGAACTGCAGCTGTCGGTGTGTTCAAGCATGTCCGCTCCATTCCGAAGGCAGCTTGAGCCCACAAAGCAAAGAAAGAGATCTATCAATTCTTGGATGTTCTTGGAGCGGCCGCTGATAATGTCTGACCAAGCTGCAGCTCTCGTCACAACCAAAAGGGATTTGCGTGCTCACCTCTGCTTCCTTGGCCAACAGGAAGGGCAACACTCAAGAAGGAAAATCAACGACAACACTTGCCGCCAAAGAGCAAAGCCGATGATGACGGCATTGATCAGGATAATAAATCCGATGAATGAGTCGAAGAATGAGGAGGAAATCCATCCATGCATTGCTTGCCTCTGCTTGTCAAGCCTGAGGTCAAGGTCCGAACAAAATGCTGTCCTCTCATGAGCTGTAAATGCTACATTGTGACAAGCAACGTTGGCAGTTGGTCCAGTGTTCCAAGGTTAAAACAAACACACGACATCACACATACGGTATAGCCTCCAAGAAGATAATTCCCGTAGAATTTGTGCTACAGCCAATTCGTTTGAGAGGAAGGAAATTATTAGGTTGATTATTACTAACGTCTTATTGATTTCACATTATCTTGATATGGATTACTATTATATTCTTAAATGTGTAGTCTATACCTTTGTCGACGAATCTGGGCCTTCAAAATGCTAAGAAAGTACTGTACTAGCATGGGCACTGCACATCTGAAACATGGCCGCAAGGTAGTAAGATGCTGCACGAGCGTGCCTTGATAGATCCACATCCATGCTCTTCACTACCTCTGCAGCCTTGTTGCCCACGTTCTTTGCAAGCTGACCCTGAGTCGTCCAAACGTACAGGGACATCATTCCGTCTCCTTCTATCCCTTCTGACCCAATGACCGGGGAGGCCACTCAAAACCATCTGAATCATATTTTTCTCTTTCTGTCTCATGACTCACCGGCACTGGCCTGCTCATAGATCTTGGCCTTCAAAGCTTCCCTCATCTCTTCTTCCTGAATTAGGAACACTGTGGCTTCAAGCAACCTTCAAATCGTAGCCTCAGATCCTCAGGATTTAACCTCTTCTGGTGGATGTCGACTATTTTGAGGGAAAGTAGACCACACCCCACCAAGAGCTAGAATGATCGGTCCGATGGATGCAACCCATCCTGACCTTCCGTTCTTTGACAATCTCTGCCAAGGTCTCCGACAGCATGCTGCCTTGGCGTCACACAACATACAAGATTGTTTATATACCACTCGATTTCTTGAGATCTTCTCAGCCTCAATTGAAAGCTAAGACCCAGAAGTGCAAGACATTGCTTTCATGTTTCTGCCAATGCTTACGTGCCAATCTTCACTGGTTCAAAGGACAAACATGAGAGGAGGAGCATAGATTCATGCTGAGAAGCTTCGCTGTCTACTTCGAACACTTTTGCCTGGGCAACGAGAGTTAAGCTCACTTATCTGTTGGCTAGAAAAGCCTGCAAACAAAACTTCAGTTGGTCGTGCAGTTCATAGGGCGACACCCACAGGCTGCCCAGCATTAGCAAAATATGTTTCTGTCGGGCTGAGCACTACTAGGCCTAAGGAAAGGCATACTTCTAGAAGCCTTCGTAGTTGCTTTCTTAGTCGAGTTTTCTTCAATCATCAATTAAGAGCTTTTGACAATTTGATACTCAACATTGCTCAATAGGGGCAGACCACCTCTCCATCTCAACCTCAGAAGGCTTTATTGCTCTAAGGAATGCGGTGATAGTGCTCATACTGCCAAATTCGGACAATGCACACCTTCCGGTGAGACATTCCATTTGGCCCACTCCCGTGGTGTAACCCCGTGTGTAATCCCATGTGCAGAGCCTCCGGAGCTTCATGAGACATTCAACATCATTCAATGCCGCAATCGTGGCCTGTGGGTTGTCGGCCCATGCCATCCTCTGTGAAGGCCGAGGGCACCTCACACCCCAGTGTTTTATGGTTTCTATGCAATTGTCGGTGAACTCTCAACTACAAGGAGTCGCTGGCAACATCCAAACCACAAATCTAAAACAAATGCTGCCTGCTTCATTGTAGAGGATAGACGCCTCAGGCGACCAAGAAGAAGTCTACTCGCGTCTTAACAAGACAAGAAACATTTGGCCTGCTTTTCCTTGCTTCCACTCTAAGTCGGCTTCAGGCAAAACAAACAAGTGCTGGTCAAATCATGTTTGCTCGGCTCCGGGCTCTGAGGCTTCCTTCTTCTCATCCTGCCAAAAGCATAGAATGGTGCAAAAAAATTGTGGGCATCCTTACAGTGCAGACCTAGCAAGGAGCGATACCTGGCGAAATGGCATCAGCAGGCCACCATGAATCATGACTTGAGCCTTTAATTCTTGGAATGCTCACGTCACCGCATGATGCATAGAAAAGGCTTTCAGCCAACCGCTGGTTTTTCAGCGACATAGCAACCATTGCCATCTACAGACATGGTTGCAAAACTAAAGACCATTGAATTGGAACTGATCAGCTGATTCTGTACAACATGGTTTGCCGAAACAAGAGCCAGAACCACTCAGCTGATCCAGGCATTGCATCCTCCTCTACCAGGCGGCCTTCTAGGCACCTCCCAGCGCCCGTCTCAGGTTCTCCTGGCTGGCTCTGTCCCACAAGCTTGGCAAGAGATTCAAGGGTGTGGGCTGCTCCTTTGTAGGCCAAGGATGTGGCAATTTCACACTCTCCAGCACGAAGTCTGCGAGGCTCTCATGGCCAGGCCGCTCCTCTCGGATCAACTTTCCCAAGTCTGCTGCAGCCGTTGTAAGTTGATCCTCCTCCGCCAATCGTTGGAAGGCTGTCGCCAAAAGCCTCTCATCCACCTTGGAGATCATCTGCCGAAGGTTGATGCCAACTGCAAGTCGATCCTCCAAGTATTCAGCCCACCATGGCTGATCCCATGCAACCGCCAGAATGGCCTGTGGGATCCCTGCTCGTGCAGCAGCAGCAACTGTTCCAGCCCCACCGTGGTGTACTGCACCGCAGCAGCGTGGAAGCAGCCAGTCATGTGGACAGGCTTCAAGTGAGAATACGTTTGTTGAAGCAAAGTCCTTCAGTAGGTGGAAATCGATCGTCTTTTCAGCATCCAACTGCGAAGGGCTCAAGCCTACCCAACCACCAGCCATGATACAGCGCAGATTGCTGGCCTTTAAGGCACGGAGAACCTTTTCGGTGGCTTCCCGCGGGTCCCCCACACAAAGAGACCCGAAGCCTACATAGATTGGTTTCGATGGATGTGCCAAGAAAGCTAAAAGCTCGGGGGATGGCTGATACTCAGGTGAATCTGCAAAAAGATAGCCAGTCTGTCTGGCAAATGGGAATTCTACCTGCAGATCTGATGGCTCCGGTAGAAGATGAGGACTCCAGCAGTTGGCTTCATGAGCGCATTGGTAGACTGCCTGTGTCTCAGCCACATCCTTGTGCGCTTTCAATCCCCAACCGGTGCGCAAATGATTGAGCTGGGCAAACTCTTCCGGGGTGATGTAATTGTCCCAGAGCTGCTTGTGAGCCTCCAGTGGCTTTCCCTGCAAGCCAAGTTTTTCAAGCTGATTTCGAGCAAAAAATGCAGGGTATGCCACAGCAGAAGGGAGAAATGGCATGAATAAGGCGTTGACTAGTGGCAATGAAAACGCCTCAGCCACAGCAATCAACGGAACAAAGCTGGGATGACCCACCAGGGCATCAGCACGGAACGTGCGCACAAAGTCGTAAACTTCTTGGGCCGGGTTGACACCAGAGGCCAAGATCTGGTGCTCTTGCGAAGTGTTAAAAGCCTTGATGCACAAACCTCCATCACCAGAAGCAATGGCCTCCTGCATCTCAGAACTTTGGATGGCCGATTTGGGGTCGAAAGACATGCCAAAGGCTGCTATTCCACGTTCTTCGACCAAAGACACCACACATTTCGGGCAACAAATCGCCACCTGGTGGCCTCTCAATCGGAGTTCTTGCGCCAATGCTAGCAGGGGCTGCACATCGCCCCGAGTGCCCTTGGTAATCAGACCCACGCGCAAAGACATGGTAATCAGACCGATTTACCAGCGATGATGAGACTGAAAAAGGGAGGAAGACAATGCCTCGAGCCAAAAATAATTAGGTGTCTGGCCTTTAGGTCACGCATGGTGGGACAACTACTCAAGCCATCGGTTGAACAGCACATGCAAGCCTCCATTCCGACTTCGAAGCGTGGCTTGGTCTTTGTGGCTTCCGACTCCCTTGGTTGGTGAAGGACTCCGACTGCTACAGAAAAGCTCTGACCCGTTCCAAGTGCAAACCAAAAGAGCATCAAACTGACCGTCAAACTCCAACAGTTTCTCGCAAATGACTTTGTCAATAAGGCAAGAACTGAATGCGGACAACAAATTACCGCTAAAAAACCTTCCTGCCCAAGCTGCTTTGCTGCAAGGGCTGACAATCTCGCCTGGCTCCACACTGCCTCGGAATTGCAAGACTTTGGCATGTCGGACGGGCCGAACATGACCAAATATTACTTTGTAGGGGCGCATACGATGAAAAGCTGTGGTTCTGCTTATCCCCGACATGCACTTACGTTACCTTGGAGAAGCTCAAACTCCTAGCCGCACGACATACATCCTGGCTAAATCATGAACGACACCTAGCATAGGAATCCTGGGGCCTTGTCGCGTAAACACAAATTACAGTAAACACCCGCGCTTGCAACCAGTCGTCTGCCCAAGCAATCAACCGGTGAGTGCTGCAAGTATAACCCCAATCTCCAAGAAAGAATATTCCAGTTCTTCCTTCTTCCATGCGTGAAAACGAATCGTTTTTCCGGAGCTAGGATATCGAGTGCCTGTGGGCAATCTGGATCCAGGCGTTCGGCATCCAAATTTTGACAATTGCCTGTTAGCTGGAGGCTAAAGGATTCAATGTTATTTCAATTGTACATATGTATAGTATTTATAAATATGATATGCTATGGACTCAGAAAGCAATGAGATACGAAGACCCAGGTGAAGGCGAGAGGAAGTGAGAGGACAAACGAGATTCTATGATCAAATGAGAGCAGTCCTTTAATATGCAGGTCCGCTATTCAATTTGCAAGTAAATCTTCTTATAGGCTTCACCTTTCTTTCTCTGTTGGAAAGACCAGAAATCATACACAGGTGCATGCTCCTCCCTATCTTATATGCTTGGACTCTTGTATAGCTTTCTTCTACAGTAACCACAGAAGGTTCTCAGTAGCGCATCGTCCCGGCGTACAAACCTGGAAGAGCTTTTCTTCCCGAACGACCAAAACGGAGCATAGCCCTCTCACCTGCGCCTCTGATTCGAGCTTCAGCTCAGGAGAGTCTGCCTCTGGTTTGAGTTTCATGCATGCAGACTTCACGTGGAATCTCTCATTTCTAGAGACAGATTGTCGATCCAAAGCTACACTCAAGTGTTCCTTGCTTGACATCTGTGGATGATAATTCTTGCATTCTTGGACCTCCTGCACCTCCAAAGACCTTTCGAACATTTCAATCGATTCCCCAGCCTCCACAAAAGCTATGTGAGGCTCTTTCTTGCGACACTGCCGGATGCGGATCATCTTCAGTGGCTTGACCACTGGTCCTTGATACACCTGGACATCGGTCCATCGGTCACTTCGAAGAGTGGCTGCAGGGCTTCATTTGACCAAATCCGCCTCCACCATCGAAAGGGATAAACTAATAGAAACCCTTAGCCTTAGATGTCTGTCACCAAATTATATACCCACAGCTCAAAGATTTTTTCTCCCTGTTCATCTGGACGTTGCAACAGTAGTTCAGCTCAAAAAAAGAACCGGCACTGAATCACAGTGTCACAGAACCTTCTAAGCAGGACATTTGATCACCCCAAACAAAGAAAATAATACCGACGCAAGGAAACAGCAGATCTAAAGTTGGAATGTAGAAGCAGACGAATTCAAATCTGGTGTCGGCAACCCGAGGTGAAGTATTTTCCGAGTGATAACAAATGCGGAAACACACACCTTGTACAACGGTCCCAGTTTTGACCTCATAAAGTTCAGCAGAAGGAAGAGCTTCACCAGTTTCATTTTTTTGCACTTCATGTGGATGTAGCAGGGGCGGATCAAAGTCCTGAGTCCGCAGTTGCATGACCAGATGAGTCCACATGACAACGAACTGCGTTTGTCCAAGAGACCGGGGCATCGATAGGTCTCCAAGGCTCACCTTTTTTCATCTGCCTGAAGGTTGGCAATTCCGATCCGTCAGATCCTCTTTCTGAAACGCCCTTGTTCCTAGTAGCTTCTTGTTACTACTAGTAAGGCCAGGAGCCCCTAGTAGCTTCTTGTTACTACTAGTAAGGCACTTGTTACTAGAAGCGATGCACTTGTTCCTAGTAGCTTCTTGTTACTAGTAGTTTCTAGTCGACGGTATGGTCTAAAGGCTCCGACGCATGAGCTAGGTTCAATCCCCGGGGCAACACTAAGCAGACAGGCGGGCCATTACCCCACCCCGCAATGAAACGGATGAGCTAGGGTGTGGTGGACCCTTAAAACGCAACAAGGCCAAATTCCCAACATCCCAAATTTTGATAACAACAAAATATATTTGTTTGAAAGCAAAAGCATCAAAACACAAAAGTGAAAAGATATGCAATGTGCACCTGGAAGCAGCCTGTGTGAATGCTCAAAAAAACACAAAAACAAGTCGTGTTGGCTTCATTTCCTCACTGGAACAAAGATGTGTCCCGGAACCGAGAATCAGGCAACAAAGGGTGGTGCCAGGCATGCTCCACGACTCCTTGTTGCATTTTGAAGAAAAACACTTCAATTGAAGTTATGTCGGTGCATCTGTTTTTGTCGAAGTGTTGTAAAGCATTGTGCTGGGCCAAATTTGGCACCTGTCAAATTCCGAGTCTTTCTTTGCTCGCTTACAATAAATCACACACATGCAAACATGCACTCATGTCAACCCAAAGGCAGTGCGCAAAAGAAAACCATTTAGGACTTGGAAGTGTTCAAACATTCATCTACTGTACACTTCATGCACAAGCCAAGTTCAACCCCTCCTGGACGACAACCGAAAGGATGCAGAATTCAAATCTTGTTGAGCCAAATGCCCGTTGTTGCGTGCCAAACACTTTCAATAATATAGCTTGACAGCACTTGTCAAACTCTCCTAAGTTTTGCTGACATAGATTGCAAATAAGCAAGTTCGTCATCTCACAACACGTTCATAATCATGATGTTTTTTTTAACTTCCATTTGCAGGGTCTGTCTTCGCTTTTGCATTACCATTCCAGCACCATCAGAACAATACACACACACACAACAAGTATTCGAGCAACAATTGGCAAATGGTCCTTCCAAAACATTGTCCAATAAGAAGAGTTGGTTCAAAACACCAACATTGGAAAGGCATATTACAATCTGAAACATTGTAAAAACACACTAAATACAAAAACATTGTGGGGACAAAAAAGTTGAAGGGGCCATGAACCAAACCAACACAATTTAACCAGCCAAGGCGCGCAAAATTGATTTGTAGTAGTATCAGTAGCAATAATAGTAGCACTACTACTACTAGTAGTAGTAGTAGTAGTAGTAGTCGTGGTCGTAGTAGTAGTGGTAGTGGTAGTAGTAGTGGTAGTAGTAGTAGTAGCAGTCAAAGGAAGTTTAGTGAACGAAACTTCCGTGTTACGGACAGTCAAAAACTGTTCATACACCAATCATCATACACCACTCGTCAAACACCACTCATCATACACCAACCATCAAAACACCACTCATCAATACACCACTCACCATACACCACTCATCATACACCACTCATGAATACACCACTCATCATACACCACTCATCATACACCACTCATCAATACACCACTCATCATACACCACTCATCATACACCACTCATCATACACCACTCATCAAAAACACCACTCATCATACACCGTTCATCATACACCACTCATCACACACCACTCATCATACACCACTCATCAGACACCACTCATCACACACCACTCAGTTAGCTCTAGTTTCAAGAGCTCTAGCTCCAGTTAGCTCTAGTTGCAAGAGCTCTGGCTCCAGTTAGCTCTGGTTTCAAATAGCTCTAGCTCCATTTGGCTCTGGTTTCAATAGCCATTTCCAGTTAGCTCTAGTTTCAACCGCAAACATGACAGGCTCCACGGCGCCATAACCAGGTACGCGACACAAGTTTTCATAATGCTGAGTTTCCATAGTTTTGCAGCGCCGCAAACACTTGTTCTCCACCCTCAAACATTCATGTCCACACATGTTCTTGAACTGGGGAAGGCCCACTTTGGCGACCCTGGAATCCACTGCGTTTTTGGCGCTTGGTTTTGGGCCCGTCAATGAACAAGATTTTCGCAAGGGGAGAGAGCACGGGTCCTGCAATCACGCTGTGGGAGAAAGAATTGTTACGCCGCACATTGCAATGGTGGGCCCGAGCCGTGCCAAGGCGGTACCGCGCATTGCACGCTGTTGTGAAGGATGAGGTTTTGAAAAAACAGTGTTGATGTTTTGAGCTCACGTACGTTAGGCTTCCTGGGCCCCGGTTCCATCAAAGCGTCAACGTTCAAATTTTCCCTTGCAACGCACCATATAGGGTTTTTGCGTTTACAATCAAGCTCTGGGTTGGGTCGGACCGGGTATTACAGCGCGCGGCACCACCTCGGTTCCACTTCATTACAGCGCGGGCCTTTCATTATGATGATTGGCGGTACCGCCTCGGCGCCGCTCGGGCCCTCTATTACAATGCGCGGTTTTGCCTCGGTACCGCTCGAGCCCTCCATTACAATGGGCGGCACCGCCTCGGCGCCACTTCCGTGCCGCTCGGGCCCTCCATTACAATGCGCGGCGCTGACACCTGTTTGCGTTTACAAAGTTTTGATTGGATCGGAGTGAGGAACTTCCCAGAAAACACAAAGACCAACATTTTTTTGTACGGATGGAGCCGCCATTCATGCAGGAAATGCATAGGTCAGCTTGCGCTGTTTTTGAAAGAGTCTCCAGAATGAAGAGCCAAGCAACAAACACAACATCAACACAAACCAAAACCAAACAACAACCGACTAGAGAAGAAAGCAGGAGACTCTTGCGTGTACATGCATGGTGAAACAGATGTGAGACATAATCGGGCGTTGAATCATTGCAAAAAGCCACT